TAGCTTACTAAAAAATAAAGAGGGGGCAGAGTTTAGTCAATCATCCAGAAATTTGAGGAAACTAAAAGAGATGCCAAGCCTCTTAAATGCCTGGTAACATGTATCACTTTCCATTTCTTATTTGTAATTTCCTCTTCAGTACAAGTGCTATTATCAAATATAGTATTGTTTTCAATTCCACAATTTGCTGGGTTTCTGCCCAGAGACCAATTCATTCTTCAATTCTGTAATTCATGGTCTATCGGTTGCCTGATATCTACTAGTGATGAAATAATTGATCCTCGTCAGTAATGACAACTGATCACTAAATATTGCCTTTTGAAGCTGAATACATTTCTTTCTCTATCACTTAAGTTTAAAGCATTATCCAAGATTCCAAGTTGGGCATGTGTGACAGATATCTATGCATCAATATATTGAAGATTTATCAAACCATTACGGGTACCCCGGGTTTTTTCTTGGAGCCATAAATCGTAATGCTGAATCCTTCACATAATGGTCTGAAAATCAGAATAATATTTGATATTTCAATCTCGGAACCTAAACTTAAATCTTGTAACTTGAAAGTTGTACGAGTACCTATTGAGGTAGAATTGTAGAAGCAACTAAGCGAGTCAAGCGTAAAGCGGAGCGGAGTAACAGCATCAATTCTACATTCACCCAAAAATCACGCCTGTTCACACACGCTTTAAGATAAAGTGAAAGATGAAAAGTACCTTCTTTAACTTTCAGTAAAGCTTCGTAGAGGGGCTTTTGGTTCTTCTTTTTCAAACATTGTAAAAAAAAATAAAAATCAGTAAATCGTAAATTTTTCCCAAAATAGAATGAGAAAACAAAAATAAAATTCAAAAATTGTAAAATCTCACAGCCTTGCAACAAGTACGTGTGCCAGTGTAGTGGAGGGAAAGGGATTTCTGTGGTCCTGTGGGCTGTGGGCTGTGGAGTGCGGACCTGCAGGTTGCGGCTTGCGGTCCTACGGAGTGCGGAGTAGGTGGCTGAGGCGAGCAACGAAGTCGACGGTAGAAGCAGAAGCCAGAAGAAAGGCCAAGGCAGATTCGTCGTGGACTCACTGGACTGTATCACTGTGGAGAGGGGAGTGACGGTGGAGTGACAGTTGTGAAAGTCGGAGACGACACACACACTCAGTGCATTTGATATGAATTTTCAGATTTGGGAATTTAGGTAAAGGGATTGGATTTGGATTTGGATAAATGGATTGTAGGGTTGGGATTTATGGGTAAATGGATTGTTGGGTTGGGATTGGTTTAGTTATTGGATTGGGCATTTCATTTGGGCCGGCTGAACTAAATAAAAAAAAAAAAGAAAAAGGGCCAAAATGAGGCTCCCTAAGATCTTGGGCCTGAAGCGCAGGCCTCATTCGCCTCGACCCAGAGCCGGGCCTCTATGTAAGAAGCCCATTTTACATGCATAATGCATTCGTAAAATGTATATGAGAGACAGTTTTGCTTGTTGACACAAGCTTGTCTAGGCAAGTTTACGTCTCACAACTTTTATTGCCTGCGTATGGTTGAGCAGTTTCTTATAGGGGTGATGGGTAATTGAAAAATTCGATTTGCTTTATGTTCTCAGCAACTTGACATCCCAGCCTTTCTCCTGTTTTTTTTTTTTTATTTTTTTTTTTATTTTTTTTTATTTTTTTATTGATCAGGTAAATAAGTTGTATTGATCAAAATTTTGGGTATTACTCCAGGCATACACACAATAAGACGTTACAATGATCCAAAACAAGTGATGGGACATGAATCAAAACATAAAATGCCAAACCATTGACGGTAACTAGTGCCTTAGAACTAATCCACCGTTCGAGAATTGGATTATGTTGGGCAGCTTGCATTTTTGGCAGAAAGAGTGCCAAAAACGGGTATAAAATGCTCAAGTAAAATCAAGTAACTGTTGCCACTGGCTCAGTTTCAAAGTTCTGCTTATCTGGGACAAAGACTCAATGCAGCCTTAACTTGGCCAACAGACATTGCTACATAAACAGCGTCGAACTATGTTTAGTGTACAGCAATACAGCCCCTCACAATCCCGCACAATGAGGGAGCCCACAATTAAAAAATTCATATGGACCGCCTCAACATGTGAGGGCTGTACACACGTAGTTTAACTCAACAAGGCCACATGGATCCTGTTTTACTGGGGGGACACAGAGAAGAATTATTCTAGCCAAACATGGTAGAATGCAAGGCCAATGCATACTACAGGTCGCAGCGGTCGGAACTAGCAAAAGGAGGCTGCTGAAAAAATCCAAATTCATGTCAAGGCTGAGTTTGAATTTTCCCGAACTTTTCCACTGCAATTTTGCTGTGAAATTCTGATATTTCCAGACCGGTATGGGTTCTTCAAATTCAAATTTTTAAAACGAGGGGAAGAAATCTCATGTGGACGGTTTCAAAAGACCAAGAACAAAACGGAATCTTTAAGAACATTACTTCCAGACCTCCAAGGAAACTTGATGAGTAAAGCACAAAAGCTGGTGGCCAGATCAAAACTTGCCACCGTTTTAATTTACCAACTTCAAGAACCATTTCAAATATTTTAACAAAATCTTCAAGAACACACACCCCGTTTCTCTATACGCGCCAGCGCACCCACCCACAGAGCCGAGATTTAAAGTTCTCACATGTAAGATTGATGTAATCTCAATATTAGAATGGTCAGATGCTTACTAAAATTAACACTAATAAGTCCTTGTCTTGCTGAGCCTTTTAAAAGTCAAAAGCTATTTTTGAGATTAAAAAGTTGCTTTTAGGCTTATTTAGATAATTTTATGCATGTGAAGGTTTTTTTTAAAGGAGGTTCGTTTAAGATAACTTTTTCATGAATCTCCTTTTTCAAAAAGTAGAAGCGATGCTAGCAAGCCCAATTAAGGAATCAACGAAGAATTTTTGGATTGTAATTTTTGAAATTGGTATATTTGTAAAAAAGGTAATTAGCATGAAACGTTCTCATCTTTCAATATTATTGTGCAAAACGTTCATACTTTTCATTTTTTGACATTTTTACCCTTACCTTTACCTTTTATTGCGAAAATCATCATTTTCATCAAATTTCTCATGTAAGATGACAAATATACCCTCTATTTAAATAAAACAATACAAAAGTAAAGTAAAATTAAAGAATAAATTGTAATCATACTCCCAAACTTTTTTAAAGAGTGCAAATGAGTCCAAATAAATTATTAAAAGTGTAATTAGCACAAAACGTCTCTAGTTTTGATTAAAAGACATTTTCACCGTTATTTTATATTTTATTGCGAAAATCATTATTTTCATCCATTTTCTCAATTAAAAGTTGTAAAATGACATAAAAATTATGTGATGTAAAAATCACCTAAGAAGGAAGCCCCGTGCATGCAGTTAAAACCAACTGCAAATCGCTGTATGATTTGACAATTTATCTCAAGTTTGAAATTT